AAAAATTTATCTCTTGTGCCACTTTGGACAAAAATATGTTTTTCAAAGTACCTTTCTTTGTTAGAAATTAATTTTTTCCGCTGTAAAAATTGGAATCTGAATAACTTAAAAAGGAAATTTTACTCTGAATAATGTACTGTAATGATTTTTTTTTATTATTAAGTGGCATTTCCTTAATTTACCTAAACAGAGAAATCTTAATTTCGAATTCACTCAAAAATATCTTTTAGAGTATTTATTCCCTTTGTGCTTGACGCTGCTTTATGAAATATATCATGCTTAACGTGCGAAATTAAATGGAACTTAAATGTTAGATACATTTTTCACATTAATTAAAAATAAGTTATAAATTTGAATGAAATTATATTTGCGACGTTTTGTTGTTACAGGAAAATCAATCTTTGAGACTCTGGATTTGTTCAGCAAGTAGGTATGCGTCTAAATATGATTTTTAATTCTGGCAGAAAATAGTTACCATAACATACAAGACATATATTTAATAGTCTCACACCGTTAGGGGATCAGCATGATCCTCTGAATTGGTTGGTCGTTTATGCCGACAGTATCAGCATAAACGACCAGCCAATTCAGAGAAACAGTAATAAACTTTTTACAGATGGCTCCAAAACTGAGAACGGCACGGGCAGCACCTTCTGTAGACTGGAAAATGGAGATGTAACATTCGAGTGGAAAAGGAAACTAGGCTTGAACAACTCGGTATACCAAGCAGAGCTTCTAGCTATCAGTGCTGCAATTAGATATGCGAACACATGTCAACAGGATGAATTCTCCATAATCAGTGATTCTGAATTAAGTCTGGCGGCTATCGCAAGTCAAAACAGCCGGAGTCCTTTAGTATACCGAATTCAGAAACAACTTCTGACAATGCCCATTTCGCAAAGACCCACTTTAAAATGGGTCCCTCTCACACAGGGATTGAAGGCAATGAAGCCGTGGACCTACTGGCCAAGCAGACAGCCAACTGCATGGATATATTAGAAAGACCAACTAAACTTTCGTGGTCTCATATTAAGCGAACAACTTTGACAAGTCTGCTACAAAATTGGCAAAGTAGATGGACAGAGGAAGAGGTAGGATGAAGGACATTTCGCTTACTGCCAAAAGTTAACATGGAAATAAAGACTCACTGTGCTAGCCTAACACAGTTCTTGACAGGTCATGGACCATTCCTAGTATACCTGAACAGATTCAACTTAGGGATACTCCTTTCTGCGAATGCGAAGAGAAAGGCGACACGAAACATTATTACTTCCATTATGTACATACATAAACCTGGCACTTGAAGAAACCAGCGGACTTTTCCTGGGCAATGTGGACGTCTAACACACTCAAAAACAGAATAGCCCTTGATAAAATAGAGAAAATCTCAAGACACTGCCTAAGCAGAAACAACCGTGAATAAAATTATGTTTCAAATGTTCAGAACTTAAAGCAGATAACGAGAATAACGCTTAGTACCTGCAGTTATCAATATGTAAAAACTGTTATTAGTATGTAATATTCAACCTTATTATTTTGGAATCTTCCCCGCCGTGATGGTATATAATTCCATTTGGTTCATGTCCGTAGTCGGAAGCCATCATAGCGGTGCACTCACTCACTCACCGTTAGAGAATCCACTAATTCACGGAGAACTCCGTGAAACTGGCACGGATGAGGGCAAAATCCTACTTCCATCTATAAAAGTAGCTAAGATCATCGCAGTAGACACTCGCAACCATGTTTGTTAGCCATGTATTTAATCTAGATTATACGGAAATCCTGAAGATAACTCACAACAAGAAATTTTTATGTCATGTTAGCAGGAACGTGAATTGTGGGATGCCATTTGGCCTCAGGAATATCGTACATTGCGTTGTATCTAAGTCTAAAAAGGAGAAAATATGAATTTGAACAGTAAAATCAAGTTTATGAATTGAAATACAGCGTTTCTGATTTTTTTTCAAAATCCTCACCTATTTAATATGTAATAACCCAATTATAAAAAGTGATAAGAGAAGTAAACAATAAAGTAGTTTAAGAGAGAAACTGTATATTTTTTGTTAAAAAGCAAAGTGAAATATTTAGGAACATCGTTATTAAGTGTGTGCATCAAAAATACAATACTTTGACAGCCAGCAGTAATTTATAATGTTATCAACTTGCCTTCCCTACGAAAAGCAGCCATTTAGGGTGGGAAAAAAATCTTAGAATATTTTTTAAAATACTTCCCTTTCAGAAAGTACAGAAAACGTTATTTTTTATATGTTGAAAACCAATTGGAAATAAGTTTTTAGTGACAGCTCTACCTTTAAGCAAATGTCTACAATCTATTTGAAAAGCACTTTTCCATGGGAATAAAGAATTTTCGAATTACATGCTGCATATCAAAAGTAAACTAAAAAAAAAAATGTTTATTTTGTTTTAAAGCAATTTTGACTTATTAATATTTATTTTTACTTAAGTATGAAATGAAGTATTATTTGTTTAGCTGAAGTGTAATTTCATGAGGAAATAAATCTTACCTTTTGTACGAATTTATTTCTCCGCGTAATACGTGCAGTTATAAATGAAACTGAGTTTCAAACTTTTATCATTGTATCACTTGATATTCTATAAGCAATTTAAATTATTATGATTAAATATGATTTATTAAGACTTATATTATATATCACAAATAATATACTCTAATATACTCTTACTCATTTAATCAAAATGTATTTAAGATATAAAAAAATCTTAATGTAAGATATATCTCTATAAGCTCACTTTCCATTATATGAAAACTGCCCTATACTCCCTGCTCTTTTATATGTATCCACCGGAATATGTTAATAAAATGAGTTTAAAATAGTAGTAAGAAAACTAGTAAACCGAATAAAGATTGTTATTGCTATGAACTGAAAACAAATTCCCGTGTTATATACGATGAGAACAGTAATTCTCTGAACCAGTGAGTTTTTCTTTTGTTAATGGATTGCTTTTGTTCGCTTTATTTATGCATGTAATTTTTAATGTTATTTACACATGTAACCTTTAATGTTCTAGTTAACTTACTTCTGTAAGCCCCGTGTAGTACATATGTGGTGCACGGGGAGTCTGTATGTTCTCAAAGGAAAAAAAAAAAAAAAAAAAAAAATGGATATTAAGAACAGTTCGTGAAATTTACTGAGCGAGGTGCTAGTATAAGCGCTACTTGGAATTGTAAATAATTATAATTTTTTATTCTTCCTCCAGAAGTAGAATTAAATCTGTATTAATTTTGTTCTATAGAGATGAAGTATGTAAAAAAAAATTAAACTCCCCTTCCTCTTTGTTGTTTTGTTTCTGCTGGATTCTGAGACAATAGTCATATAGTAGGCTTGAAGGTTAAACTGAGGTAAGTTCATAGACAAGTTTTTGCTCTTTCAAGGTGAAACATTTCTTTTGCCGACTTCGAGACAGTGATGAATCTTATGTATCTGTTCAAACGAAGTCAACGACGTCGGTGTCACCACTGCTGGTGTACCTTTGTCAAGTAGAGCACACATTGTCGTATAGTAACGATGGGCGAAATTAGTGTAGATTAAGCAAATATTAGTCTATTCTAACAATCATCCATTCTCTTTTGCACTTTTTTATGAAATTAACTACTAAATACAGTTATTATTAACTATTATTTACAGCGAACAATAATTACTAATGAAATGAAGGATTTACTTACTTTGAAGGATTTTAAATGTTTCATGAAGTCGAGAATTTAGGATTTTTGTGATGAACACTTTCAAGAAATGAACACACTTTTTTCTTGCTCATTAATTTATAAACGTCTGTGAAATTGCTAAGATATTTCTTTTTATTAGTTCACTTCTCTAATTAGATATGTGTGAATTCTTTGCGATACAAAGAAAGCATGCAAAGGATATCTTCCAAAAGAAAAAAATACCTCTCCTTGAGGACGTTTTGCGGAAACATGGCTAGTTATCATGCACATATAACTGAAAAAGACCCATCAGTGGCAAAGCTCTAAACCACGCTGAAAACTGGTTGTTCGGTCCGGGGCTCGAATCCTGGTGAACTGACTGACTGCATGGGCGTTTCCATGGTTATCCAAAAGTGTAACGTGCATATGAGCCATCTCCCGTAGAAAGTTCTCTACGAAGACATCGCTCCCTTTGGCAGATAGCAAGCGCTATTTGCCAAAGGGACCTCCTGAGCAAGCGGCTTCTTACAGGCCGATTTGTTTATTACCCACTTTGGGTAAAGTTCTCGATAAATTGATTAACAATAGGCTTGTTTATTTTCTTGGTAGCAATAATCTACTAAATGCAAATCAATATGGATTTACGCCAGGAAAAGATACTATCTCGGCAATTAATAACATTATTGACACTATAAGAATTATTAAGATAAAGAATTTACATACTACTTTGATTGCAATCGACATTAGCAATGCCTTTAATAGCTTATGGTGGCCCAGCATCAAATCAAGACTTCTAGATTTAAAATGTCCTCAAAACCTCTTCATATTATTAATAGTTATCTAAATAATAGGAAAAATTATTTACAGAAGAAATAATATAAATATTGAGAAATATTATAATAAAGGTGCTCCTCAGGGTTCTGTTTTAGGCCCTACACTTTGGAACCTGGTGGCTGATACTGCCTTACAATTGAAATTTGAAAAGGATGTATTTTTGGCAGGCTTATGCTGACGATTTTGTGTTGGTGATTTCTGGAAGTAATAGATTAATTATAGAAGAAAAAGCAAAGAATGCTCTAGATAAACTTTATAACTGGTGTAAAGTAAATAAGCTGGATATTAGCCAAGATAAAATGGCTATGATAACAATCCCAAAAGGCTCAAAATTAATCAGATTACCTTTATTGACGTGGAATGGAAAAAGAATCCGCAGCGAAAAAACACTTAAATACTTAGGTATAATTTTGGATACAAATTTAAGTTGGTTGCCACATTTAATTAAATTGAAAGAAAAAAAATTTTTAAGATTATGAATAAGATGAATAGATTATTATGTATGGATTCTTTTAAAAGTAAAAGTATTTTAAAAGAGTTATACAATAGAGGAATTGAACGAATAATCTTGTATGGCTCACCCGTTTGGTGGACTGGAACGGAAAGGGTGAGAAATAAATTGCTACAGATTCAGAGGGTTGCAATGCTACCCATTACGGGATGCTACAGAACAGTCTCTACCACCAGCCTACAGGTCTTAGCTGGGGTTACGCCTATAGACTTAGTAGCTGAAGCTGAAACGCTGATTTATAAAGCTGTTCATATGAAGAAGAATATAGATTATTGTGACCTGAAGATTTCTAATAGAGAAATTGATCCAAAATTAGAAAAGTTTTATTTTCATCCGGCACAATTTAAAGAGGTTACCTGGAAGACACTTCTTCCAACTGGTGTTGGTTTGGAATTATTCTCTGATGGCTCCGTGATTGATAAAAATGTTGGAGCAGCATTTGTTGCTTTTGCAAATAATAAATTTGTATATAAATCTAAATTAAGATTGAATAATAATTCAACTATTTTTGATGCAGAACTTATTGCCTTTGAATACGCCATAAGATGGGCTAATGAGGAAGAAAATGAGAAATATATTACAAATTGGGAGATTTCGGTGTTCACAGATTCCCAGAGCATCCTTAGAGCTCTTAATTCTAGAAAATGTTTATCTGCAAAAGTAGATAAAGTCAGAAATTATATTCACAATATTAATTCAAAAATGAAATTACATATAAATTGGATAAAAGGACATTCGAATATTTATGGAAATGAAAGCAGCAGATTCTGCTGCTAAGGAAGCATGCTATAATACAGATATTGATATCACGGTTCCTTTATCTCTTAATTATATTAAGAGTGTACTACATGACAAGATTCTCCACACATGGCAACAAAGATGGCATTATGACAAAACTGGACGAAAGGTTTATAAAATATTTCCTGTTGTCAAAGAGCAAAGATTAAGTTACAATAGATTGCTAAATCAATTGATAACAGGACATGGCCAATTTCCAGAATATCTAAAAAGGTTTCATGGGAAAGATATTCATTGCCGATGTGGTCAGGATGCATCTGGAGCATCTAATGGACATTACATTTGGGACTGTGCCTTAACGAAGGAAATTAGAGGAGAATATTTTCGAAATATATCTATAAATAATGAAAAATATCTATATAGCAATAATAAAGCTAAATTAGGACTTATAAAAATTATTACCAATTTGAATAATTATGTATATTTCGATCCTTTGTTTAATTGCTTAAATTTTGAGTTAGGTTAGCAGGTTTGAGTTCAATTAGTCATTTATGTAAGAAATAGGTGGTTTCTCTGAATGAAGGTCGAGATGACCGTGGCGGGCCGACACATCTCCAGCGGAGGATGAGTTTTTGGATGTAGTCTTATTCTGTTGTAGGAGATTATTATTTGCAATTTTGGCGGTTGGCTCGTTTATTCTCGATTAGATAGCTTGGCCGCTACCTTGGTCTTGCGTTGTAGTCTGTGATCAGAAGTGTGAACTCATTGTTCTTTGGTCTGCTCCGATAGATACGTCAGTGGTGATATTTGCTATAGATATCACCATTTAAGTTTTTTATTGAAACCACCATTGATGTGTTATCACCATTGAAGTGTGGATTTTTTTTTTTACTGATCCTGCTGAATGAAGATAGAACTCCTATACTTCGGAGACGTAACTTGATGCCTAAACAGATCACGTGGGAAATAGCTGTCTGAAGCAAGCGACTTTAGCGAAATCTTTCTTCAGTCGACCTGGCATGTCCCATAGCTTTCTCACAAGAGCCTTTATTTGGTAGATACGATATTTTGGAAGAGACAGCTCACATAGTACAGCGAGCAAGCCCATTTTGAGCTCTCGTTTGTGGTTGAGAAACCTCGCTCAGTTATCTTCTGATTCCCCTTTAGGCTATGGTGCGAAGCATGAGCATTTAGTCAGGAACGCTGTGAAGCAATTGGTTGCTTGGACATTGCTGCCCGCGCGTGGGACCCAGTTATTTGTCTAAATAAGAAAGGGTGCCAAAGAGAAGCACTTTCCAATCAAAAAATCTTACTTCCAGTTTATTGTTTGGAACTTCATCGCAACACAGCTGGCGAAAATATTCATAATCTCAATAAAATTCAATTTTAATATCATCATTGAAAAATATACACCCAGAAAGCGTCCCATGCAATGCTTTAACTGCCAAGAGTTTGGCCATTCTCAGACTAAATGTTTCAAACAAGTAAAATGTGTCAAATGGGCAACGACAGATGCAATACTTGTACCTTTCAAAAATAATCAGAAGCCCAAGTGTCGATTCTGTTCGAAGAGCACGTCAGTTCTTATCGTGGGTGTAAGATTTACAAGAAAAGATTTGAAAAAACAGAAGATGTTAAATTTATCCCCCCCCAACCACAGCAGACGATTTTACTTCTACACTTCCCAAAACCTCTTCAGAAAACAATAAATCCTTCCGAACTCCTAAATTGAAATACAGTGCTGCACTGCAAAATTATATTAATCCCGAAGATCAACTTAAAGATATCTTTCAAATTTTTCAAGACCCCAAAGTTTTTTGACTCATTAATACTGTCACTGATATAGCACAAAAAAATTCGTAGCTCACGTAGTACCACGCAAAAAATTTTATTAGCATTTAAAACAGCAGAAATTATGTTGAAATTTACTGAACAAAATCAAGTTTATTTCCTTCATTTCTTCATACGTTCAGATTTTCACTTTTAATAGTTAGTAGCATTTTCGATGTACTTTGAATACGAGGCTCGTGAAATCTCTGCTCTTTTCGATTGGCCGGACTACAACAATCTTTAACAACTGACAATCTTTAACCACTGCAAAAACAATTTATTTTGGATACGTTACAACATCAATTTTGCTTTATTTAATGCATTTTGTATTTACCTAGATTATGCCATACTTCAATTACTCAGGTTCTTCAAAATTTGCTTATCCTAACTACCAACAGATGGCGTCTCAATAACTGACTTCTTATACAATAGTTTCTGCCACGTTCATTAGATGGCGCCACATCTCTCTTCACTATGGAAGATTAGCAAGCAACTAAAGAATTTTCCACTTTTATTTAAAGTGGACTTTATTTTTCACTACGACGTTCCCCCCGTAGGGGCATCAATTGTGGATTAGAGTCCCTAGTGCCGAAGACTCGTCATCACCGCAATTCATCAGCAGCACTTTCATACTAGGATCATCAACACAGCAGCGTTTGCTGGTGCGGTATCAGCAAGTTGTGTTTTGCCCATACCGGTCGCGTTGCGACATTTTTATTTCACGGTACAAAGCAGTTGCACTTTGATCTCTTCAGCTATGTATTTTAACGGTATTTTTTGCAACTGGAGGTGCCTGTGAAGTTCGTTGTTCTTTTTCACTGATGCTGAGGACAGAACTCGTGAACTCAGACAGGTAGTTTGATGGCTCAGCCTATCTCGTAATAAATAGCTGTCGATATCATTCATTGCTTTGCTTGCAAAAGTCTTCAAAATCAAGAAATAAGTTTCTGTTAAATTCGTGTTTCTGTTATGTACTTTTTACTAATTTTCTAAATTTCTTATTAGCCAAACTAATATAATGTGATTTGTTTACTGCTATTAACTAAATAGAGTCCACAGACGACTGCGAGGTTTTGTTTTACTAGAAAAACTAATTGATTCAAATTATTTTTCTAAAAATCAGAAACCATAAATTTACAATACTTAAGATATCCATACAAAGGAATCTAATAATATAATCCGATAATGCAGTCCACTTAAGAATAAATATTTAAACAATTGTAGGTCAGCTACATTTAAGACACCGAATTCCAAGATGTCGACATGGTGATGTTTCCAAAATGACGAAAACGCGTTGCAAATGGTAATGAATAAATGCGAATTAATTACGAGAAAATATCTAGCGTGAACATGAATGCTGATTTATATAATTTATAGTCACCATCATATTTATGGAAACCGCGAGCCAAAGAAAATCAGAGTATGAGAGTAATCGTATGTTTGATCTAGAAAGAATGTTATATTTTCTTCATGCTCCTCTGAAAAAGTAGGCAAAGAGGTTGCAAGACTCATATTCATGATAGTAGTTTTCTTAGCCATTCTGAACCTAATTTATTATATCTTAGTTCCACTATAAATTACTATTATTACAGATTATTACTGATTCAATTAAATAGTACATTCATAAATACGCTCTTATAAATCTTATCAATATTTTTTAAATGCATTGATACAAGTTATTATATACTCATTATGATATACATTTAGTAATAATTTCTTAAATATTGACCAAATTTTGCCCTGACTCATTTAGATATTCATTGATATCTGTATTATGCACTGATATTATTATTTTCACATAGCTATTTTTTATCATTATCATACTATGTACCAGAAAACAGTGTCATATGAAATTATATTTATCTTACACATATGCAATTTTCAACTTAATATTCTTTTATAATTGATATATGATTGATATCAGACATAATCACCAAATTTTAAAATATTTATCCTTATTATCATTTAAGTAATCATCAATATTCAGTTGCTGGAATCACATGTGTCGTCGAGAATTATTATGCCCACGTACAACATGGTTCTGAAGCCGAAATCATTTCTATCCTTTTTAACAAGAGCAAAAGCTAATTTTTTTTTTTTTTTTCACGGCACTATTATGTTTGTTGAGGTGTACACCATTAGGTGGGGTTGTAACGTGACAATCTATCTAAATATACATACTTAGAAGTCTTTAATCAATTTACTCGTGCCCAGAATGGTCCAAATTACCTTATCATGGGGTAGTACATTTCCAGACTATGTAGTATGCAATTTAGTATACAGATGATTACCAGACATTCGGGATTGGCCCTATCAACCCGTTCTTAACTATGTACGATGTTGTGGTTTTAGCGGGAAACTGAAGAAGAATTTGAAATAAATGATTGAAAATGTAAAGAGGAAAAAAAAAATAGAAACTTTTACTGAGATTTAGGTATTTTAGGTTAGATTCAAGTCATGTTTGCAAACTTTTAAAATATTTTCATTAATGTAATTATTTACGTTCGCATTCTCTATATCTTTAACACAGACATACAGAAAAAAAAAACCTTCTACATTTTAGTATTCAGAACATTTATATTGAATGAATTCTTTGCTTCTGTTTCTTTATAATAATTATCCGCTTCCGTCATTAACTTATTCTTTAGTGTGGCATGGATTGTTCCTCCATTCTAAACCTTAAATATACACAAACATTAGCAAATTATATACAGAGCGTAATTTTCATTATCCACCAAACGTTTCCTGCCTTTACTTAAAAAAAATCCTCGCTTTATAATTATTTAGAACTTTCAATAGTTCCTTGTGACATGATATTAACGGATGGCAACTGTATTATTTATTTAAGCCGTTTTTAAAACGCGCTCTAAGCAGGCTTGGCTGTATCAGAAGTAAATTGAAGAAAATCGTCTTTCAAAGAAAGTGTTTCAGTCGAATTGTAAATAGTACTTTATTTTAAAACGTCTTTCACACATCCAGTACCACTGTTTTTAGATGAAAAACACTGGTTTCTCGAAACTTTCCAGTCCATCAGTGTCCTGAATTTATTATTGTAACTCTGACTGAAACGTTTTACTAAGCAAAATACACTGGGTCTTCCAAAAGTTAAAAATTAAATATAAATTAACAATTTCCGAACGTATAGTTGAGTAGTTAAAAACTGCTGTGAAAGCAAGTGGCAATATGCAAATATCGTATGTTGCAACCAGTCACGACTGATTATCCGAACATATATTAATTAGGCAGTCGTTTAAGGCCCCGGTATTCTGAAAGATTTGAAAAGGTTCCTTTAAATGTAGATGCGAAGTATTTACTATAACTTTCTCAGGATACATTTTGATGATGTTCTTGTTTCTGTGGTTAACAGAAGATAAATAACAGATAGAGAGCGCTTGCTTGCTGTCAGCTACATCGAACCGGGACAATCAACCAAAGATTATTCAATGTTAATCAAATATGAATCAGTTTCAATCAAAGACATTAATTATTCGTAGTCTCGAATGTGGAAATAATTCCAAACGAGTCAAACAACAACCAACGGTTACTAGCTTTATGAAGATAGGTATGCGGCTATAAATGCCAAGCAGAATCCACAAGCGTGCTCCACATTGTTACATAGTTGGAGCGTCATATGGTAAGCCACTATCGGTAATGTGTGCTGAAGGCTTCACATGAGGAGACTTTTCTCTAGAGTATCAATTGTTTGTGTTTTACGAAACGACCAATCCAGAGGACAAGATTAAAATGGTGTCTTCGATATTTCAAATGACTGAGTTCGGCACAGACGATTCTTGATCTATCCTGGAATCAGATGATGGACGTGTAAAAGAACTATGCTTTTGGAATAAGTTCCTGAGTTTCAACAAACGGCACATGTTCCGTGGTCTCATCAGAATAGCGAAGACTGGAATTTCAATGGGAAATCGCACCCATGTGCACATTTTTAAAGACGGTTGTGTGATGGATGCGTTTATGGGGATTTAACCTTCCATTCCACTTTAGAACTTCACACTGTAACAGTCTGTGCGAATTTCGCCTTATTACTCTAATCTTAACCTGATTTAAATTGTTTGGGACACCTCCGGGGGTATTGTTTCTGCCTCCTTTATCTTCTCCAGCTATACTCAGACAGTAAAAAGCTGCGTTAATTCATGAATGACCATTGCTAGAATTTGCGGTGATTTATTAATCCAGTGAAAGCAGGGACAGTAGCTGTAAGGTTCGTGTGAAGGTCCGAGGTGGACATTCACCTTATTACCGTAAGTTTTGTTTGTTTGGTTTTAACATTAAACATGAAATTTATATTACCAAATGCGATATCATAATATAATTTACAAAAAATTAAATTTGCATTCCATTTGTACTCATAATGCTTGTTTACTTTTACGGATAAACACATTTGATACATTCATATGGAATTTTATTTTTAATATATATTTACTTTTCGACTTTTTCTGATTTCACAACCTAATGCTTATTTATTTGAAAGCCGAGTTTATAGTCGTTTTGGTACTGAGAAGACAGAATGTAACTATTAGATACATTATGTGATGGAATTCTAAAAACTGATAGAACTGTATCAATAAATTAAGGCGATAATAACGAAATATTCTATGAGGTACATAGTTAAATGTTTATTAGTTCATGTAGGACTGGAGAAATAGATAAAGCTGAATCAGTTTTACCATCCTAACTTCCTCCTTATGAATGGCTTTACTAGTTCCGTTATGGAATCGCACGAATTTTATATCAGAATAGGTTACTTTACACCCTCGTAATAATAAAAATCAAAGAAATTTTTTAAAAAAATCTGTGTTTGACGCTATGAAAAATATAAACGAAATGAAGACAGAAGAGAAAATAGCAAATTAAATCATAAATTTTATAAAATAACAAACTTGTGTTAGCTTAGATTTTAAACAAGACTCAGGTCTTGAATTTTGTCTACGCCAAACACAAATTGTCGCTTTAAAAATGTTATGAATGCAATTAGCAAAAAATGCTAGGAAGGTCAAAGTAGTATAATTTTCTCTAGTTTCAAACCCGGGATAGAAGCACTTCAGTATGAAATTAACTATTAAACATAAACGTACGTAGATGTAGAATACAATTTTACCGATTTCGAGGGCGATCTGACGCAGGTCACTCTTCTTCATCAGAAGCTGCAGAATATATTTATTTGACTAAGGCTTTACAAAATATATTTTATAATTTACAAAATATCTGTTTATTATGAGCCATGAGAAAGATGTGTAAATTTAAAATGCCGGATATCCTTAAATTTATTTTGCGAATGTAGCCTGAATTCCCATAGTAGAGCATAAGTAAATTCATAGAATTCAAAAATTTTGGAATCAGTTACGTAATAAAATGAGTTGCTTAGCTTAATAAAAGAGAAATCCAAGAGTTTAAA